AGACACACAATACTCCAGTCTATGCTCCTTTACTGAAATTCTCTCGCTATGAAGGCCAACATATCATTCGTCTTCTTCACCACCTGCAGCACCTGCATGCTTACTTTCAGCAACTGATGTACAAGGCCATCCAAGTCTTGTTGCACACCCTCCTTTCCCAATTTGTTGCCATTCGGAAGATAATTTGCCTTTCTGTTTTTGCTACCAAAGTGGGAAACCTCAAATTTATCCACATTATTCTTCATCTGCCATTAATCTGCCCAGTGACTCAACTTGTCCAAATCACACTGAAGCATCTCTGCTTCCTCCCCACGGCTTACCCTCCCACCTAGGTTTGTCTCATCCGCAAACTTGGAGATATTACATTTAGTTCCTCATCTAAATCATTGTGAATAGCTGGAGTCCAAGCACCAATCCCTGTGGCATGCTGGTGGTCACTACCTACCAGTTGGAATAAGACCCATTTATTCCTATGATAACAAGGTGTAGAGCTGGATGAACACAGCAGGCCAAGCAGCATCAGAGGAGCAGGAAGGCTGACGTTTCGGGCCTAGGCGGCTGGATGATCCAGAGGGACTGACAGCAAACTAGATGCCACATGCAGATTCCTGATGGAAATGGATAAAGTTGCCAAGTTGCATGATACTTTCAATACTCCTAAAAAAAATGGAGCACAGCAGAGATACACCTGGTCACTGGCAACCCGTCCATTCTCGAACAGATCAACTGTTGTCAGCTGGTGTTCTTCTCTGACCACTGCCTCATCCTGACCAACTGTCACCTACAGAGTGACTAGGGAGTAGGCAAGGGAACATGGGAGCTGAATGTGAAACCATTGACCCCAGAATGGTTTGGGGCGGCACGGTGGCTCAGTGGTTAGCACTGCTGCCTCACAGTGCCAGGGACCTGGGTTTGATTCCACCCTCCAGCAACTGCCTGTGTGGAGTTTGCACATTCTCCCCCTGTCTGTGTGGGTTTCCTCCGGCTGCTCCAGTTTCCTCCCACAGTCCAAAGATGTGCAGGCTAGGTGGATTGGACATGCTAATTTGCCTCTAGTGTTCAGGGATGTGTAGATTAGTTGGGTTATAGCAGGGTGCGTCTAGATGGGATGCTCTGAGGGTCGGTGTGGACTTGTTGGGCCAAAGGGCCTGTTTCCGCACTGTAGGGATTCTATGATCTATGAACACATTGTGGAACTCAAAAGGGATTACACAGGTTGAAGAATCCAATGGACTGGTGGCAGTCAAGGGGAACGACCTGAGGTTCTTCATCCTCAAAGGTGTTCAGAAGGTGAGAGAGATGCGCAAAATTGTCAAAACTCCTGAAAAGCATGCAGAACCTATTCCTGCTACAGACAATAGGGATTGATGTCAAGGAGGACCTCCAGGAGGTGAAGACCCAACAACTGCACTCTTTGCCTCGAGGCCTCCAAGAAAATCTTCTGGTCCAGGGTCCACTCTGTAGAACAGGATGAGATATGCTCGCATTTCTTATTCTTTGAGAACATGCACGCTTCTGTGATCAGGAAGAAGATGGCTTGGTCACGTCATCTCATTTTTGATATCTTGAGGATCAACCAATCCTTCTATGCCAAACTGTATGGTGTGAAGTCCACAGACAGCATGGCCTTCCAGTCATTCCTGCCCTTTATCATGGAGGTCTTAGATGACAGCATGGAGGAAGGGCTGGACTAGCTATTATCTTTGCATGATCTGACCAAGGCCCTCAAGTCCTTTGAACAGAATAAACTCCAGGAAGCAACGGTTTACCAGCCAAGTTGTTTTCAGCTCTGTGTGACTTGATTGGCCAGGACCTGCTGGAGGAGTATGACAGTGTACTTCTGGCAGGTAGCATGTACAAATTCATGAGGAAAGGTATCACCACGCTCATCTACAAGCATTTGGCCCATATCCCTCTAAACCATTCCTATTCATATACCCATCCAGATGCCTTTTAAATGTTGCTATTGTACCAGCCTCTGCTACTTCCTCTGGCAGCTCATTTCATACAAGCACCATGCTCTGCATGAAAAAGTTGCCCCTTAGGTCCCTTTTAAATCTTTCCCTTCTCACTTTAAACCTATGCCCTCTAGTTTTGGATTTCCCCCACCCAGGGAAAACACTATGGCTACTCACCCTATCCATGCCCCTCATGATTTTATAGACCTAACGCCTCCTCTCAGCCTTCAATGCTCCAGGGAAAATAGTCCCAGCTGATTCAACCTCTCCCTATAGCTCAAACCCTCCAACCCTTGCAATATCCTTGTAAATCTTTTCTGAACCCTTTCAAGTCCCACAATATCCTTCCTATAGCAGGGAGACCAGAATTGAATGCAGTATTCCAAAACTGGCCAAACCAATAGTGTGTACAGCTGCAATATGACTTCCCAACTCCTATACTCAATGCACTGATCAATAAAAGCAAGCATACCTGTCTACCTGTCACTATCCTGTCTACCTAAAACTCCACTTTCAAAGAACTATGAACGTGCACTCCAAGGTCTGTTTGTTCAGCAACACTGCCCAGGACCTTACCATTAAGTGTGTAAGTCCTGCCCTGATTTGCCTTTCCAAAATGTAGCACCTCACATTTACCTAAATTAAACTCCATCTGCCACTCCTCAGCCCATTGGCCCTTCTGATTAAGGTCCTGTTGTAGTCTGAGGTAGCCTTCACTGTCCACTACACCTCCAATTTGGTGTTATCTGCAAACTTACTAACCATACCTCCTATGTTCGTATCCATATCATTTATATAAAGGATGAAAAGCAATAGATCCAGTGCCAATCCATGTGGCACACTGCTGGTCACAGGCCTCCAGTCTGAAAAGCAACCCTCCACCACAACCCTCTGTTCTTCCTTTGAGCCAGTTCTGTATCCAAATGCCTAGTTCTCCCTGTATTCCTAGTGATCTGAACTTGCTAACCAGTCTACCATGAAGAACCTTATTGAACGCCTTACTGAAGCCCATGTAGATCACGTCCACTGCTCTACCTTCATCAATCCTCTTCGTTACTTCTCAAAAAACTCGGTCAAGTTAGTGAGACACAAGTTCCCACGCACAAAATAAAGTTGACTATCCCTAATCAGTCTTTGGCTTTGTAAATACATGTTAATCCTGTCCTTCAGGATCCCCTCCAACATCTAAACCCACCACTGATGTCAGGCCCACCGGTCTATAGTTCCCTGGCTTTTCCTTAACACTTTCTAAATAGTGGCACACCTTAGCCAACCTCTAGTCTTCTGCACCTCACCTGTTGTTATCAGTGATACAAATATCTCAGCAAAGGGGCCAGCAATCATTCCCCTAGCTTCCCACAGATTTCTAGGGTATACCTGATCGGGTCCTAGGGATATTTCCACCTTTATGCATTTTAAGATGTCTAGCACCACCGCCTCAGAAATAGGGACATTTAGTAGCGTTTTTGCCTTTGATTCAAAATCAAGTCCTACTTCAAGACTGGAGCACAAAAATCAATGCTGATGCTCCATTTGAGTACCAAGAGCATGAACGAATGATTTTTTTGCCACATGTAGTGGGCAAAATACAGTTAAAAAGTGTTTTGTCGCCACAATCTGGCACCATTTTGGATCACAAAATGAATAGAAAGAAATTATTTAAATAGAATATTATCTTCTGTTCAATTGACAGAAAAAAATATAAAAGCAGAAAAATAAGAAATAATGTTCAGCTTTACAGCCCTTCTTGTTGAGCACAGCTCCCGGTTTTCTGTAAGGTGTTCCAATCCACAATGAGTCCCTGTTCCAGGTCCAGCCAATGCCCCAGGAGTCCCCGGCTCCGCTACAAGGGCCACCAGCCAAAGCTGCAGCCTCTGCCCCTCAACAGCATTGCTAGGAGTCCCATTCCAGGTCCACCATGCAGCCAAAGTTGCAGTCACCGCCCTACTGACATCACTTGTATTCCCTACTCTGGGCCTATTGCAACCATGAGTCGTCGCTACAGCCGCAACTTTCATCATGAGTCCCGCTCTGGCCTTTTCCACAATTACACCTCCACCATGGTCAAGAAGATGAAAAGAAAGAAAAAGGAAAAAAAAGAAAGAAGAACAGGAAAGAGAAAGAAGGATGCAGCCGACCCAGAGCGGTCAGGCTCAGGAGCCTAAACGTTACCTAACTTGCTGGTGCCGCCATCTTGGTGAAGTGCTGCAGAGTTCCATTTTTCAGATGCACTGCTGACCCAAGATGCTTTCTGATTTCTCAGGTGAATGGAAAAGATTCCATGGCACTATTTTGAAAAAAAAAGAAGGGGGTAGCTGCAGTGTCGTAGCCAATATTTGTCAATCAGTCAACATCACAAAAATCAGATTATCTACTCATTATCACATTGCAGCTTGTAGGATCTTGATGTGCAAAAAATAAACTACCTGTCTAAACTATACCAGTGACTATATCCTAGACTAGTTCATTGGCAGTACATTTTAACATTTGGTGGTATGAAAAGGGTAATTATAAATGCAGTTTTTTTTTGCATGATCTCTGTGTTACATAAATGCAGAAATGAGAAAAATTCGGTGACTAAATTGAAGGATTTTAATATGTTTAAATTAAAATATAATACTGTAGTCCTTTCATATTTTGATGACTAATATACTCAAACATCTGAATGTTACCAAGGATTAACTCTGTTGGAAACTGTTTAATTGTGTCAGTATTGTTTGGGCAATGAGGCTTAAAAGGACCCTTCTTCCCAAAGTATTTGAGGTTTATGAGGCAAGCAAAATATTCCTTGAAGTTCACTTTAATAAATTGTGAAGAAATTCATTTAGTACATTTTGGTAGTGAATGAGCAATTTTCTTTTTCGTGCAGTTCTATGCAATGATTTCATATTGAGTTAAATATAAAAGATATTAAATCTTGACTGTGGAATTTTCTTTAAATTAATAAAGATATAAAATTTACTTGAGACTTGATGCATTGGAAAGAGCTGTTGGGCCTTTTTAACTAAAAATAAATGTTAAATATTTTGTTTTCCTGTGCAGGGCAGCAGAAATCCTTTACTCTTTAGCATTAGTGGGTGCTCAGCAATCCAATAAAATGGCAATGTTCCCTTCATCTGAAGATTATAAACTGCTCATAGAAGCAAGACGAAATCTTGGCCTGTTCCAACATCATGATGCAATTACTGGAACCGCTAAGGAGTGGGTCGTCATGGACTATGGGACCAGGTGAATATTATTTTGTCGGATTCACTTTGAATTAGTTTTCTCGACATTTGGTTTTGAATTTATCTTCACAGTGATCTGATAATATTTCATGAGTGTTTGATAATACACTTGTCATAAATGGATTTGACAATATATTAATATAAAGTATGGGAGAGAGATTATTCAATCCAGCTTGCTTTGTCAATTAAGTCCTGATCTGATTGTTTTCACATTTAATTCATAATGCTGTGCTTGCTTATGCTTTACTTAATGGAAAGAGAGGTTAATTTCTCCAACTGTTTTCTGCAATGCAACCGATTTATTTAATACGTTAAACTGGGGTGATGAACAATTTTCTTTTACATGCAGTTCTATTTAGTGCAACTACTTTTTAACTTTAAAGCCATGTCGCTGAAAGTGTAACTGCTAAAAGTCTTTTACAACCAACAGTCCAGAAACCCGTTGAAAACAGAGCCTACCAAAGGCTCAGAAACAGCAACAACTGCAGATGCTGAAGTCAGAGATAACAGTGTGGAGCTGGAGGGGTACAGCATGCCAGGCAGCATCAGAGGACCCTTCTTCAGAAAGGATCCCAACCTGAAACGTCAACTTTCCTGCTGTGTTCCTCCAGCTCCACACTGGCTTACCAAAGACTGATTTTCAGTACATTACAATAGTTTTACAGTCAGTTCCTCAACACCTGTGTGTTTGGAAATTATAAGCATGAGTGGTAACTCTTGTATAATATAAAACAATCTTCATTTACAAAAACACCGGTGACTGATGAGGCTCATTTACTTCATGCACAGAGAGTTCTAGTTTTGTTTTTCTCTTTTTACTTGTATTCCCATGTGAAGCAGTAACAAATATTGGCCAAGACTGTTCTGAAGAATGCTTGAACAATATCTGTACTGATCTGTGCAGCTAGGGCAGTTGCATTTGGTTCTCTGAATGCTTCCTTGTATTGATCACAGTTTAAACTACGAGCACCCATCCTGGAATTAAGAATCAGCCTTAAACTGTACTTGTACTTCTAATAGAAGGCTTAATTTTCAAGAAAAATGAGAGGAAATTTAATAGAGGTTGCCTAAATTATGAATTTGAAATGTTCAGTGAAATGAGCAGTGTCATGGAAGCAAGTATGAAGCTGATGTCAATATTTATACAATATGAAAATCTTACCCTGGGAGTAGAGTGAAAGTCCTCATTGCATCATCTCTAGATTTTATCCTTCTTTTCATTTGCCAGATTTATCTCTGCCTCAAAGTGTGCCACAGATAGAAGTGAAAGGCAGAATTTCAGTTTGCCATTTTCCTTTTCCAGGGGCTGTGATAGTTAAATATCATAAGGTGACTTTGTGCGTGGGAACTTGTGTCTCACTAACTTGACCGAATTTTTTGAGAAGTAACGAAGAGGATTGATGAAGGTAGAGCAGTGGACATGATCTACATGGACTTCAGTAAGGCGTTCAAGGTCATCAATCATTTTGTCATGGATTAGTTTTCACTGCAATACAGACAAGGAAAGAGCTGTTTTGAGAAACAAACATTTCATTCAAGCACATGCTTCCCAAGACAGTGCTTTCTAAATGTCGTACAAGAGAGCTGAGAATACTGTTGGAGATTAAGACCTCAGTCAATAGAAACGTGGGAGCAGAAGTGGGGTGCAGAGTTAGATATGAATAGTTAAATGTTATTGGTTATAAAGTGTACAATCAAACACATAGGGGAAGATGCAGAGTAAAGAATTATCAGTAGCTTCACTTGCAAAATAGTTTGTTACTGAGTTTATGCACTAAGAGCTGTGTCATAGTGACTCCAGATCACATGGATTATCTGGAACCTGAATTTGTGGGGCTTCAGAAGATGTGATCTCTTACTTTCCTTCATTAGGTTTTATAAAGTCTATTAATGTTCACTCAGCAGAATGTAGACCTAATCTTACTACACTGTTCTAGGTGACCATCTCCAGGGCTTTGAGAAACTGTAATATATGCTACAGGTCCTTTTAGTCAAAGGATACCTGAAGTTAAATCCCTCAATTAGAGTTATAGTTAGATTGTATTGTCACATGTGCTCAAGTACAGGGATACAGGAGTACAGTGAAAAGTGTACAAAGTCACCATTCTCCAGCACCATCTTAGGTACAAAGGAACCTAGGTACAAAATCTTAAGTATAAAGTTTAAAAAAAAATAAAGTTAATGTTACAGTCCTCCTGAAGTGTTTAGCCATGAGCCTGGATACAGGCTCTTCCACACCAACACTGAGACCATCACCAGCAGGAAGCAGTCGGCCAGTGTCGAGTCCGTTTGCCATGCCACGCCACTGCCACAGAACCGTGTCGCCTTTTTTCAGCGTCATCTTGCCTCTACCGATGTCGTCACTGCCATGAGTCTGTGCTGGGCCGATCTCTGTAATATAGATCTCCGCAATACAGCTGCCAGTCCCAACTAGCTTGAATCCAGGCTACTAATGGTGCAGAATTCAACCATTGTGTGTTCAGACTGTATCAAGGGAATTTGTGGACTTAAACCTGTTGTTGGAGAATGAGCCTTTCCTGGAATATATGTGAAACTTGTATTGTTGGAATGTGTTGCAATGACTTGTCAGATATTTGCTGCTGAAGGTGCAACCAGATTCTTAAGAGTTCTTGAAGAACCACCCAAGTAATAAGTGCTCCCAGTAACATGAGCAAAACCAGTCTTGGATTCTCGAACACCATTTCTTCTTTTGTCATCCTTCACCTCAATGGTATCTTCATCTTTTTACTGTGTCACATTATGCAGTAGTCCACCACTATTCTAACTTTCTTTTCATGTGTCTATGTGGCTCCTGCAAGAGTAATTTGATGGTGATATTAGTGCAATCTAAGAGTGTTTTAGGGGCTTTCAGGTAAGCACATGAATATGCAAGGAATGGAGGCATATGGACCAAGGGCAGGCAGAAGGGAATAATCTAATTTGGTGTCATGTTTGGCCAACATCATGGTTGAAAAATGTTGCAGAAATCTTGAGCAGATTCCCTGGAAATAGTTGGATTGAGGTTGAAGGCCACAGTCACTCTGAATGCAAATGGCAATGTGTAAGCACTTGTTTGAGGCATGAGGTCAGCCTTCAACATAGCGCAGATATCTCTCACCAAATGTGTAAATGTTCAAAGCCTTTGCTTGCACTGCCTTTTGGTCATGTTGAAGAAGTTGAGCCTGTTAGAAAAGAGCCTTCGGTTAGAGTAATTTCTGTTTTGCTGCTTTCTCAGGGGCTCCAACACCTCATACCTAGGTATCCAAGCTCCATTCACATGCTGCTGCCATTGCCTTTCCTGTCTGTACTAAGTGTTGGTAGGTTCTGTGGCCATCTCTTGAACGTTCCTTCCTGATCGACTCACTCCTCACTCATTATAACTGGTAGTCTGTCTTGTTAACCACTTGGCTGGTGATGCAAGGAAGGATAAAGAAGCTCCATGGATTGGTTTTGATGAAGTCACCAGATTCAAAATGTTAATTCTGCTTTCTCCGGCAGATGCTGTCAGACCTGCTGAGTTGCTGCTAAAGGGATGGATAATGGTAAACCATGGGGAAAGAAAATCTGGTAATGGGGACCGTTATCAGCATTTGCATCTACTTTCGGTCCCCATTAACTGTTTTCTTTCCCCCAGCTTACCACTGTCCATCCCTTGGTCTACCGACTGTCTCTCCCTCTGTTTTGGCTCCATCTCCACGTGTTGCTTACTCCTTTTCACCCTTCACTTCCTGTCTTCAGCATATAATATCATATTTTCCTAGCTACTATCAGTTCTGAAGAAGGGTCACTAGACCTGAAACATTTAACTCTGCTTTCTCTCCACTATTGCTGCCAGACCTGCTGAGTTTCTTCAGCTATTTCTCCTTTTGTTTTGGATTTCCAGCGTTCGCAGCTCTTTGTTTTATTACAAAAAACAGTTTGCTGTTTATTATTACAGAGCTATTTGTTGGAGTTTCCTGTGCGTAGCATGCCCTCTGCACTCTGTGTAACAGTGAGTAAGCTTCACAAATACTGCGTTATTTATGCTTGTAATGTCTGATTGTCCTGATAAGTGTAATATATAATTTCTTCCAGCACTGCAGTCCTCACCTCGTTCACTAATGTCTTTTATAGAACAAAAAACCTGCTATTTCTTAATCAGTCTGTCTTAACTGCGACTCTAGATCCACACCCATGTGGTTGACTTTTAATTTACCTCTGAAAAGTCTACTCAGTTCAAGGGCAATAGAGATGGGCAACAAATGCTGGTCTTGCCAGTGACACTCACACCCCATGAAAGAATTTAAAAAGTTAAAATACTTGTTGGAACATGAGAAAACACAACAGCTAATTAGGATCAGCCAGAAATCTCTTTATTTTGGCTCTAAAAGGAAGAACATCTAATGTTGTTTTTCATTAATAATTAATGTTTCAACAAACACCGAAAATGTAGGGAGTAATGCTACAGATTTTGCATTTTATACTGATTATGAAATATTCAGAGTATTAATTAACACTGATGTAGAGGTATAGAAGCAGATTTTGATCCTAAGGATTTTGAGTGCAACCCTTAGGATGTAGGCAGTGATTGGTAGAAATCTAATCAAACTAGAGCCAAATCAAGATAAGCAAATAAAAGTAAATTTACTGGGAAAATAAACATATATTACCAAATAGTGTTTTTAAATACAATAATTCTGTTTGAATTTAGGTATTTTTGTTTTTGAGATTAAATTTGTTAAAGTTAAGATTGCTAATTAAAATGATTGTGTATAAGGGGATAGTTAAGTGAGTTGTTGAGTGAAATCTATTAGATATTCACTCCAAATAACCACAGGGTGAATATCTTGACCTATTCCTTCATGAAAACATTTTCTTCTGTTTTAGATCTAATTATTAATTTTAATCCCTTTATTGCTTGAATATAGAATGGGTATATGTTGTGGCTTCTCTTTGTATAGAATCTCACTTAAATGATTTGACAGTAGGTGCAGTATAAATGGTGTATTCATTTAATATTATTGCTTGTTAATTGCTTGTTGTTGGATAATTTACACTTTGAAAAGTGAGTGAAAATAACTTATGTATTAATTCTGCTTTTATGAACCAAATGCTGGAGTGAAAGGAGATCTCTAAAATTAAGTTAGGTTTATCTTCGTAGGAATGCCCCCTCTAAGTGGCATAAGGGTGTACAGGTGCAGAAACCCAACCGGATGTACCACATTGCTGCAAAGCGACAGATGCAGTTGATTTCCAACCAAAGCATAATCTATTTCACCAGCCTTCTAACATTACAAAGATGTGACTGCTGAGTGCCAGGTTGGTCATGTTCTTGGTGCTGTCAATGCTGCATTCCTGCCCACAAGTCCAAATTGAGCCCAGAGCTACCATCTCTCAGCCCCACCATGAGAAGCTTCTTGGCTGAATGACCGGTTCTACTTCATGATCTTTGTTGCTGTTCCCAGCCTCTGACCTGCTCCCGGCCCCTGCTGCTGCTCCTAGTCTTTGTCTCCGCTCCCAAAACTTGGGCCTCAGTAGGGCCGCCTGCACATGCACATAGATAATGCAGAGATGTCAGCCACACATGCACAAATTCATTTAAGTTTATTACACAGATTACATAGTGATATGGCCATGCATGTACAAATTCATTTTAACTCCGGGCCAATAAATGACACCACTGCACAAGCACAGGTAGCTGTTTTGATTGCCAATTTTGTTAACGCTCATCACTCCAAAAATTAAATGGTGGATAGAATTAATCAATTATTGAATTGCTGTCCAAAAATAAATAGATACACAAAGAAATTGGTAGGGGTCCAAGAAAGGCCACCTTGCAACAATAATATTTTGTGTAGAATATACAAGTCTTTGGTTTAATTTATTTTTAATTTTTTCTTGTACAGATTAACTTAAAGTCTTGATTTTTATTTAGAGAGCCGGATGGAAATCTGTTATTGCAGTTAATTATACGCTGAAGAAGAATGATAACTGATAGGAGTTGACTGAAATTGGTTGGATTAAGAGGTGTAGGTCTGTAGTGTGTAAATATGTAAAATATATGAAGTAAATATTTCATATCTACTACCTTCACTTTATTTATGAATTTTTGTAAAGATTGGCTTATGATCTGTGTTTCACTGCCTGTCTTTTGGATTAGAGCACCTCATTTGCCTACCAGCGGTAGAATCAAGCATATGTAGTGTTGCTACATGCTGAATAGTGCTGTGAGTGGTGAAGATGTCGGAAGTCTGCAAACTGCTCCACATATTATGCCCCCACAACAAAAAAGTGCAATACTTATTATGTTCTTGGATCTTTCTCTTCACAGACTATTTCACTCACTATTGAACTTGAAAAAAGTAATAGGTGACTCAGCACATTTTCTAATTTTAAAAGACAAAGAAGGTTACAAGCACAACCCTTCAATGCCTTTTCTTCAAATGGTAAGAAATGTTATTTTTCAATTAGCTTCATTGTATCCTCGAGATTGGCAATAAAAGTGGGCTGGTGTAAGTAAAATAAACCTTTGGAAGTCTCTGGAAAAAAAACCTTTGGATGTTTGCTGAAGTTACGCAACTTTGATTCTTGGGGTCCAAGAGAAACGGGCAGGTTTGCTGGAGTCTGCTGGTGTCCCATTCGCTAACACGTTCCTTGGTCTGGATATTGGTGAGGACAAAGAATCCTTGAAGAAGTATGGTAAAACTCAAACCTAGGCCACCACTGATGGTGGCCCAGTTGTATGGCAGGGGAGAAAGAAGAGGGAAAAAACAGTATTGATGGGAATTGTTGATCTGGGGGAAGAGATCAGCATTTCTATGACCATCTGAGTTACTCCAGGATATTTTGTTGCCTCCTTAGTGCTAAGATTAGCGATGTCACAGAACAGCTGCAGGACATTCACTTTTTGGGATGGATGGCAAATAGCCATCAGTACTAATGACACGGATAGTAACAGGGATGTGGCCCTGCAATTGGAATTTAGGGAGCTAGATAGAAAATGAGCAAGCAGGGTCTTAAAGTAGTGATCTCCGGATTATTACCAATGCTACATGCAAGTGCATACAGGAATAGGGAGACAGGAAAGATGAATCCAGTATCCAGCTTTGGGCTGATAAATGGTGATTATCATTTATACAACAAAAGTAGCAGGCAATGACCATGTACAACATGGAGAAAATCTAACCATTGACCAGAACTTGAACTGCACTAGCCGTATAAGTACTGTGGCTACAAGAACAGGTCAGAGTCTAAGAATACTGCAGCGAACAACTCCGCTCCTGACTCCTGAAAGCCTGTGCCCCACGTATTAGGCACAAGTCAGGAGTGTGACGGAATACTCTTCACTTGCCTGGCGGTGTGCAGCTCCAGTAACACACAAGAACCTTGACACTATCCAGAACAAAGCAGTCTGCTTGATTGGTACCATATCCACAAACTTTCACTCCCTTTACTGTCACACTCAGAATCAGCAGTGTGTACCATCTATAAAATGCTCTGTGGAAATTCATCAAAGTTCCTTACACAGCACCTTCCAAACCACTACTTTCTAGAAGAACAAGGGCATCAGATTAATGAGGATACCGCCAATTGCAACTTCTCTTCCAGTCCACTTGCTATCCTAACTTGAAAACGTATCGCCATTCCTTCAGTATCACTGGGTCAAAATCTGAGAACTCCCTACCTAACAGCATTGTGGGTCTACCTACAACAAATGGATTGAAGCAGTTGAAGGAAGTGGCTCACCACTACCTTCTCAAGGGCATTTAGGGATGAGCAATAAATGCCATTCACCCAGCGAGTGATGCCCATTTCACATATGTGAAAAAAAAGTTCTTAGATTCAAATTAAACTGTGCCACTTATGAACTCAGTGTAAAAGTTTGCATATTTTGGTCATACTTCCGTAAAGGTTCCTTTGAACGAGATTATTAATTAGCACTTTCTCCATGTACCATACTAGATATAAAATAATCCGTTCCCAAATTGATTCCTCAATGCATTGTTCTAGAAAATAATCTCAATGTTAGTGCAAATTAAGTTTACCCAGTCTGAATGTTGATTGAAGTTCCCTATGATTGCTCTTTACTCTACATCACTTTTGTCTGGTGGCCTATAAACAACACCATCCAATGTTTGCTGCCTCTTGATCTTTCTTAACTCCACCCAAACTGATTCTACATCTTGTTCTTCTGATCTACAATTTTCTTTCACTAATGTACTGAACTCCCCCTTTAGTACTGCACCATCCTGCCTCCTTTTCTTCTTTGCTTATCCTTCTGAAATGTTGAATACTCTTGGAACGTTCAGTTTGCCATCTTGATCAGCTTGCCACCCCATCCCATAATTAGACCATACTTCTATTTACTTCTATTTCTGCTATAAATTGACCTACCTTGTGACTAACCTTTAATCTTAGTTAAGAGCCTTTGTGGTTCTGCTATTTAATTTAGCCTCTAACTGCTAATACTGTCTAATATAAACCTCTTTCCTGTGGTACCTATGTCACTGGTAGCTATTTGGACCATAGCAATTGCACCCTTGCCTCCCATTGCAATTTCCACTCCAGTCTAGAGCAGACAGGCCACGTCCTGAAATTGGACAGGCAACACTGCCTTCTAGACGATTGTTGTCAACTACAGAGAACTCTGTTTATCCCCCTGACTATATTGTCGCCTGCTATCACTGCATTCCTATTAACTTCCCCTGTTCAAGTTGCTTTGTGTACCATGGTGCCAAGGTCAGTTTGCTTATTAATCCTGCAGCGCCACGTTTGTCTGCACAAGCTGCAAGAAACTCAGATCTGTTCAACAATTGCTAATGCCTGAAGCTCCTCATTTCTGGTCTTTTGTATCCTCATATTTGACACACTCAGTCACCCCTTCTTTCCTTGACCATGAACCAAATCAGTTAACCCTTTCCTGAAGTGTGTGACTGCCTCCTGGAGCAAAGTATCGAGGTAACTTTCCACCACCCATGTGTCACAGTGTCTGCAACCCATCCTCCACCTCTGTAACTCTGAGCCCAAGTTCATCCAGCTGCAGATGTGTGTTTGGCTAAAGTGGTATGCACAGGTTACTACATTCTGGAGCTGCCACACATTATCTACACTGCCAACTTTATGGTATTTAATTAATTATTTCACTGATTAAATGTTAATTTATTGTATCTAGCCGTCCCTGTGATTATATTTTTAATATTTTAGTATTTTCTGTACTTATCCCAAGTGAAATTTACTGGTTAACAAAAATAGGAAGTGTTCACCAGCCAATCTAATAAGCTTTACTCTTACAAGTAGACCTTATTTCTCAAATTATAGGCAGACAAAGAACATGCCAGGAGCAGCACATGGCATACCTAAAAATGAAGTATCAAACTGGTGAAGCTGCAAAGCAGGATTACTTAGATATCAGAGATAACAAGGTGTACAGCTGGATGAACACAGCAGGCCTAGCAGCATCAGAGGAGCAGGAAGACTGACGTTTCGGGCCTAGACCCTTCTTCAGAAAATGACCCTTCCTGCTCCTCTGCTGCTTGGCCTGCTGTGTTCATCCAGCTCTACACCTTGTTATCTCAGATTTTCCAGCATCTGCAGTTCCTACTATTACTTAGATATCAAGTAGCATAAGCAGTAAATGGTAGAAACTAGAAACATAGAAAATAGGTGCAGGTGTAGGCCATTCAACCCTTTCAGCCTGCACCACCATTCGATATGACCATGGTTGATAATGCAATTTCAGTATCCCAATCCCGCTTTCTCTCCATACTCCTTGATCCCTTTAGCCGCAAAGGTCATGTCCAGCTCCTCCTTGAGTTTATCTAATGAACTGGCCCCAACAGCTTTCTATGGTAGGGAATTCCACAGATTCACAACTCTTTCAGCGAAGATATTCTTCCTCATCTCAGTCCTGCACTCCTTATTCTTAGACTGTGACGCCATAGTTCTGGACTTCCCCAACATTGGGAATATTCTTCCCTCATTTAGCCTGTCCAGTGCCATCAGGATTTTATATGTTTCTATGAGATCCACCCCATCAATCTCCTAAATTCCAGTCTTTCTTCATATGTCAGTCCGACCATCCTGGGAATCAGTCTGGTGAACCTTCGCTATCTCCTTCAAAGAATATCCTTCCTCAGACTAGGAGATCAAAACTACACACCCAGTACTCAATGTGTGGCTTCACCAAGGCCCTGTATGACTGCAGCAAGACATCCCTATTCCTTTACTCAAATCTTCTCGCTTTGAAGGCCAGCTTCACCTCCTGTTGCATCTGCATGCTAACCTTCAGCGACTGTTCCACCATGACATCCAGGTCTTATTGCATCGCACCTTCTCCTAAACTGCCATAATTCAGATAATAATCTACCCAGTACATCAGTGCAAAAGAGCAGCCTCCTCCAGAGATTCCCAGCATCATGGGGGCTCGTCTTCAACCAATTCAATTTGTTGCACGTGAATTCAATAAAGAATCTGGAATTAACGGTCTAATGATGACTATGAAACCGTTGTCGATTGTCAGAAAGGTCTATCAGGATCACTAATGTCCTGTAGGAAAGAGAATCTGACATCCTTACCTGGTCTGGCCTATGTGTGACTCCAACCACGGCAATGTGTTTGACTCTTAACTGCCCTCTGGGCCTGTTAGAGATGGGTAATAAATGCTGGCCTAACTAGAGATGCCCACATCCTGTGAATGAATTAAAAGAAAATCTGCCCAACAATGTTGAAAATTGCCCACTATATCCTATACATAAAAACAGTACAAATCCAACCTGGTGAATTACTATCTACTCTCATTCATTAGTAAGGCAATGGAAGGTATTAACAGTGCTATCGAGCAGCACTTGGTTAGCAATAGACTGCTCACTGATGCTTCGTTTTGGTTCTGCCAAGGCCACTGAGCTCCTGACCTCATTACACATTCAAACGTGTGCAAAAGAGCTGAATTCCAGAGGTGAGTTGAGAGTGACTGCTCTTGACATCAAGGCCATATTTGACCTCGTATGGTATCAACAAGCCCTAGCAAAACTAGAGTCAGTGAGAATCAGGGAAAAATTTGCATCTAGTTGGAGTCATACCATGCACCAAGGGAAATTTGGTTGTCGAAGGTTGTTTGAGCCCCAAGACATTTCTGAAGGAGTTCCTCAGAGTAGTGTCCTAGGCCCCAACCATCTGCTGCTTCATCAATGACCGCTGCTCGATCATAAGGTCAGAAATGGGGATGCTCGCTTATGGTTGCGCAATGTTCAGCACCAGTCATGACTCCTCATACTGAGGCAGTCCATGTCCAAATGCAGCAAAACATGGACAATATCCAGGCTTGGGCTGAAAAGTAGCAAGTAACATTTCGAGTACACAAATGGGCAATGGCCATTTCCACAAGAAAGAATTTCCCTATTGTCCCGTGATATTTAATAACATTATGATCACTGAATCCCTTATTATCAATATTCTGGGCATTACCGTCCCAGAGACCAGAAACCAAATTGAACCAGCCTTATGAATTCAGTGACTACTAGAGCAGCTCAGAGGCTAGGAATTCTGCAGAGCTTAATTCACCTCCTTACTCTCCAAAACCTGTCCATCATATACAAGTCACATGTCAAGAGTGTGATGGAATAGTTGCCAGTTGCCTGGACGAATGCACCTTCAATAGCACTCAAGAAGCAAGACACCATCGACAGCAAAGTGTCCCGCATGATTGCCACCACATCCACAAATATTCACTCCCTCAACCGTGGCCTCTCAGGTGCAGCAGTGTTTACCATCCAGAAGATACACTACAGAAATTCACGAAGACTCCTGAGACAGCACCTTCTAAACCCATGACAACTTCTATCTCGAAGAATAAGGGAATCAGAGCCATGGGAAAACCACTGCAAATTCCCCTCCAAGCCACTTACCATTCTGACTTGGAAATGTAACATTGTTCCTTCAGTGTCTTTGGATCAAAATCTTGGAAGTCCCTCCCTGATAGTGTTGAATGTGCCTATACCAAATAAACTGAAGCAGTTCAAGAATGCAGCTTACCACGAGCGCATAGAGGGCAACCAGGGATTGGCAATAAATGGTGGCACAACCTGTGACACCCACAGTTCATGAATGAATTTTAAAAAAACTACCTGAATTTTGAAATGCAAGCTACAAGGATGCTCACCAACCTGTCATCGACCTGTTTTCCTGTGATGTCACTGTTCGATTTTTCTCAAACGTGATCAGTCTGATCTGGAGTCACAAATTGGATGCAATTGCTCTTTTAGGTGCTGTTGCATATATCCAGGTATGTTTCTCTTCCAGTCTTTGAGGTGCTGGTGTTTGTCTTGCAATTCTCTTCTGTCCCACACTTTTCCTGCATCTCTCCGTAATTCCTTATTGACTGGGACAGCAAGTGAATCAGAGAAACATATGGTATGAAAATCATAAAGTGCAAAGCTTACACATAGCCAACAGTTCTGTGTGATACATTGAACGAGATCTGGAAGAATGCACAGATGTAGTAATTGGAAGTTTTGAATGTGCTTTGCAAACTGAATGTTGAGTATTTGCCATAAGAGTTGTGTAACCAGCCCTAAGTTAATAGCGAAAGCTAAATACTGCAGATGCAGGAAATCTGAAGTAAATACAGAAAATGTTGGAGGCACTCTGCATGTCTGTGGAAAGAGAAACAAAATTGATATTTTCTCTTCAGAAGAAGTCAAACTGGCCTCAATGTTAATTTTGCTACACTGTATGCAGATGCTGCCGAGCCTGCTGCATTTCTCCATTTTTTTTCTGTTTTTATTTAGTTAAGAATAGCTCTTGATTTAAGCAGATAAACTAACTGGTATAACAAAATATTACAACTTCATTCAAATGCTCTCTGCTTCATTTCAGGATGATAGTCAAGCCTCACAAGACTCATTACCTCAAAGAACAACCATTGAATTAAGCCCAACACCCAGGTTAGTGATTTCATACTCAATATGTTTAAAGAACTTTCTGGAAAGACTGTAGGGGGTGCCTTCCAAGGTGGACAAGTGGTTCCCAAAACTGCTTTCCCCACTTCCCAGGACTTGCTCAGTACCGGTTCACCCAAGAAAAGTTGCTGAGCTAATCTCCTGGTGAATGCCTCTCCTGCAACTACTAAATAATACTGAGCATGGGCAGAAACTGAACTGGAACAACCAAATAAATAGTGTGGCTACAAAAACAGGTTAGAGATAGGAATTATCCAGCAAGTAGCTCATTTCGTAACTCTCCAAAGCTTGTCTGCCATCTACAGAGTCAAGATTGTGATGGAATACTTCTCACTTGCCTGATTGAGTGCAGTTCCAACAACAGTTAAGAAGCTTGATACCACCCAGGACATACCCTCCCACTCGATTGGCCTCACATTCACAAATATTCATTCCCTCCAATACTGATGCACAATAGCAGCAAGGTACATTTACAAGATGCTCTGCAGAAATTCACCAATTCTTCTTCCAAACCCACAATCACTTCCATTTGGAAGGACATTGGCAGCATACCTCCACCTTCTCAAGGACAATTATGTATGGGCAATAAATGCTGGCCTAGCCAGTGACGCCCATATTCCCTATACAAATAAAATAGTGTGGTTCTTAAGTGGCCTATTATGGCCTAAATAAGCCCAATGGCAGATAAATAGCTTGGCGCCTCCACTGCTCCCTATAAATGAATGGGAGGTGATAGTTTAAGGGGAGGCGATGGCCTAGTGGTATTATCGCTGGACTGTTAATCCAGAGACCCAGGTAATGTTCTGGGGACCTGGGTTCGAATCCCGCCATGGCAGATGGTGGAATTTGAATTCAATAAATATCTGGAATTAACAATCTAATGATGACCGTTGTTGGAAAAAGCCATCTGGTTCACTCATGTCCTTTAGGGAAGGAAACTGCCATCCTTACCTGGTCTGGCCTACATGTGACTCCAGACCCACAGCAATATGGTTGACACTTAACCGCCCTTTGGGGTATAAGCAATAAATGCTGCCTAGCCAGAGACGCTGTCATCCCGTGAATGAATAAAGAGAAAAAAAGCTGCCTCTACCAGAGTCATTTACCTGATGCATCAATGTTTATTAACACTGGACATGGATATCATGATATTGAAGAATCCAACAGATGTTTAATACAGCTAGCTATTACATACAAGCATTACATTCGCATGTAAGTAAGTATCTGGACTGAAATTTGTTAAACACTTGGTGTTAAATGTTGGTCACACAGTGTCCTGGTTTATATTTTTCTAGTTAGTGTTTTATTCCAAATCTCTCATCATGAGAACAGCACATTGTTTCCCCATATATACATCCAGTTCTCACCCAATTACCCCATAGTCAACATATAATGATCACCTGTTTTATAGTTCCGTTTGGTCTCCAGCATCCCTGCCAGACCCTACTAAATGATAACCATATTATCTTTTCAAATTATACAGAGGGTCCACCATCCTGTAGCATATCAAGTGATCCTAGGATAAGGTAGAATATGAGATATTTATGCATTCAGGTCAAACACTATGATACAATAATGGTATTATGAATGTCTCTTAAAGAAATATGGACATACTGACCATAAGACATAATGCAAGATCTTCAATGTTCTAAAGATTAAAAACAATCCCAAACAGATATGTGGTTGTAAATAGGTACATGTCAGTTTAATCATTACACAAATAGGTAAAGCAGAGTTTCAGAATTCAAAGTTCAGTGTGATGCTTTAGAGGTTTGACAATTCATCTTGATCTTATACCCATCTGGCGATGTACCCAATGTTCTCTGTTTCACTTGTTTGACAACTTGGTTGTCTTGCTACTGGTTGCTATCATTCAACACAATCATCTTCATCAGAGTGCTCTTCCTCACTCTCTCATGCGTGATTGATGTGCTGCATGTTGGTCTGAGCTGGCTTTTGTTCCTTTGTGACATAACATCATGACCAGCAATGATTTTTTATGATCTGGACTTGTTGTACCTTTTTAAAAATTTTCATGTTTTTAAGTTGCACTTTTCACCCAGTTCACAGTTTTGGTAGTTCTCTATCTGGTCATTCATCATATATCTTTTTAATTCTGCTCTGTCTGTTAAGAAGAAGAATAATGTGTGCCTTAGAATGTTTAGGAATGGTTGCTGGGCAAAGTCATTCACACTTGCCTTCACATAAGTTGTGCTAGGGAAGGTAATCCCTTCTCCGTTCATATTGCATGAAAATGCAGCAATGTAATATAAAAATGTTGCTTTGTTGTTTGACAAACTAGTGATCATTAATTTGATAGTACGTACCATATGTTCAGTTAGATCATTTGAGCATGGATAGTGGGGTGATAATGTGATATTGGTCATTCCTTATTTAATACCTGTATCTTGAAATGGTTTGCCAGTGTACTGCGGTCTGTTGTCATGCTGTATAATTTCTATGGTTTCTAAGAATGCTGAATAAACTGAAAATAGCACTCATCATGTTAGCCATTATGTGGAGGTGCCGGTATTGGACTGGAGTGGACAAAGTCAGAAATCACATGACACCAGGTTATAGTCCAACAGGTTTGTTTGAAATCACAAACTTTCGAGAGCTGTTCTTTGACCAGCCGAAGGAGTAATGCTGCAAAAACTTGAGATTTCAAATAAACCTGTTGGACTATAACCTGGTGTCGTGTGACTTCTGATGTCATCATGTTAGTAAAAGTTATGCTCAGGTTGCAAAGTCGCTGAACTGTGGGAAATTTAGAGAAGTAAACCATTATAAGGATGTAATCTTCCTCATATACTGTATAGTAGGTCTGTTGCTGCTTTTGCCCAAGGAGTAGGTGCAAGATGGTGTGGACGTAGAGGCTCCGTCCACTCCTGGAAATGAAATGTTTTGTGAGCCTAATGAGTTATTGAGTATCCTGATTTATTTCTGCCCAGTAGACAGATTGATGTGGGGATTGCCATAGGAGGAAAGTCTTGGCCTGTATCTTCTGCAGTTTAGCAGAGTTAGCGGTGACAAAATTGAAACATATATGGTACTGAAGAAATGCGACCAGGTGGATGTTGAAAACCTATTTCTTCTTCTTGTAGAACTAGGGGTCACATCTTAAACATAAGGGGGTCTCCAATTAAAACTGAGATAAGGAAACATTTTTCTCTCAAAAGGTTTGAGTCTTGGAACTCCCTTGCTTAAAAGACAGCGGATACAGAATCTTAAAATCCTTTTAAAGCAAAAGTAGATCAATTCTTAATTATTGGGTATATGCAGGGATGTAGAGTTGAGGTTAAAATCTGATCAACCATGACCTTATTAAATGGCAGAGCAGGCTTGAATGGCCTAGGAGCCTACTCTTATTCCTTGTTATATGTGTGCATGTATGTGGATTTGCATGTTCAGGACAGCATCTCGCACCATTCCCTGATTACCACAAAACTCTTGTATCACTATTGCCTGGCATTCAGATATTTTCACTTCCTGAAGCCTTTTGCAATACTGATTACATTAATAAAGCTATCCAAGCACATAGTGAACTAGAGTACAATTTAATCTTTATTCTTTGTTTCTCTTCCATTTTTTCCATGGTTGAATAGGCAGTTTATTCCAGATTTCTGTTATTACTATTAAGGATTGTCTACTCTAAAGTTTGTAACTGATGAGAATGAACTTATATTGTTCATCATTACAGGATTGTAACAAGGTCACCAGCCGGACAACAAAGAATATGAGCTCCCTGATTGGGCCTGTTAATCTGGTCCAAACAGGGAGCCCTGGCTGACAGATAAAAAGAGGAGTGTCAGACATTCTGGCATTCTGAGAGCTGACTCTGAAGAGGCAGTACTAGAATCAAGGATTGTGCGTGTACAAATAAAGGATGACTTGGTGATGGGATACTGTACTCTGTGGAGTTATTTCAGTGGTGATGAGAGAAAAGCACAAGTCCTGAAGAAACTCGCTCACAACAGTCATATTTGAGTTGGGATAAACATTTCGTACGTCATACCTTTGTTGGGGGAATTTTGCCTCATTCAACCCTGCCGTTGAGGACTAGGCCCAGTATGCGAGGGAAAAAAAAGCATTACATTTTCCAACAAACAACATCTCCTGACAACCTGTGGAGCCACGTCCTTTTTCTGTTATTAGGAGCCGAGCTTTCCCTAGGTACCAGATACTACAACATTTCAGGACGCACATATTTAAGGAATATGATGACCCTAAGCCGCCTCTAATTCTGAAATGCTATCGTTTTTATTCAGCAGTTCGAGAGCCAGGTGACTCCATATTGGGATTTTTAATTAGGTTAAGACAACTGGCAGAAGCATGTAATTTTGGTTTAACCCTTAATGAAATGCTTAGAAACTGTTTGATGTGTGGGATTAATGATGGAACTATGCAAAAGTACCTACTGGCTAAAGCCCAACTGGACCTCACACAGTCACTACAACTGGGCTTTATCACTGGAAAATGCGGCAAGTGGATCATACGAGTTGCAGGGTATTCCGATGGAAGTGGACACCCTTGCCAGTCTGACTGAGCTTGGGAGACACCAAATGACTGCAGGCAATTGCATAGCCTCACTCAGGACATATCCTGATCGTAGGGACTTTCGGTCAGCCCACAGCAAAACCCCAGAACAAGGCCAAGCCTTGGCTACACAATTAAAATTGTCTTCAGGATCCTTGCTGGCAAGCCATTGTAGTTGCTGCTGGTATGTGGACTCGAGACAGCTAAAGAATCCTACTAGAACTAAATTGTGCAAAATAACTTATAGGATAGTGTCCAGAGGAGTTCATACCCTGGAAAGTCTACCTACATCTGATTTGGAACAGTTAAATTGCTTAGCAACATGCAAATCAGAACCAATCAAACTAAATGTCTGGTTAAATCGTCATCTGTTTCTAACAGAGGTCGATACTGGCACAGCCATATCAGTAATCACAGAACTAGTTTTCAACAAAATTCACTGGGGACTTCAGTACTTAGTTTTGCACAGGGGCTTGGCTAGGCTGAGAATCTGTACCAGGGAACCTTTACAGATTAACGGTACAACTTACATCCCAGTCGTTTATGTAAAGCAGTTTTGTTCAGTTACCACTGATTGGAGGCTTGGGCTCAAGCTTGATGGGGCAATATTGGTTGTGAGAGATTCACCTAGATTGATTCAACATTTTTCAGATAGAGAAAGGCTGCCTGAGTGAAGTCCGAATTAAGATACCTGGAAGTCTTCCAGGAAGGTCCAGGGACTATCAAAGGAGCCAAGGCCACCTTGTGTGTTGACTAGGAAGTAATTCCATGATTCCGTAAGGCCCACCCAGTGCCATTTGCCTTACAAGCAAAAGCAGAGGCAGAAATCAGGAGGCTGGAGTATGAAGGAATCGTCAAAGCAGGCCAGTTTGTAGAATGGGCAGCACCATTCATACTAATGTGAAGCCTGATGGCTCAGTTCGTCTTTGTGGAGATTTTAAACAAACAGTAAACTGCTTTTTGTAGCTGATGATGATGGAGAGCATTTTGCAAGAACAAAAACAAAGTTGCTGGAAATGCTCAGCAGGTCTGGCAGCATCTGTGGAGGAGAAAACAGAGTTAACGTTTCAGGTCCGATGACCTTTCCTCAGAACTGATGGCTGGGAAAACGTCAGTTTATATGCAGAAAATAGGGAGGTGAGTGGGATAGGGAGTAAACGATAGGATAGAGCCCAAAGAGAGAGAAAGATAATTGGACAGACAGAGGAGTTGCTAACGATCAGGCTGGGAGGGTGAATAGTTGTTAATGGGGACTGTTAGTGACTAACAACAGGGGGTGTGTAGTGG